TTTTAAACAATAGGTTTTGTGTCTTTCGAAGAAATCAGGATGGTTCTAAAGATAAACATGGGAATACAGGATTGAAATGACTCATTTAAAAAAAACTCCACAAAATATATATATTTTTTTTTTTGTGGGCATCATAGTTTATGAAAGGCATTTATTTTGTAGAACAGGTTTGCAGGGAATGTGCCAGTCCAATCTGAACCATAGAAGCATTAGTAAATGATCGGTATTGGAACTTCTCAGTAAAGCTCAACCCCTCAACTGGTTCTCAGTCATGTATGTATGACATGTGTACTTTGGTTTAAGTTTTTCTTTTCATTTACAATTATATTTTCAATTAAATAAAGCGTTCCTTTCAATCTTTCATGTGAGCTATACATAATATCTCTACAGATATTCATAGCCAATGTTGTTCCAGTTCCTAATTAAAAAGAACGAGCTCAAAGTTCAGTTCACATTGAAGAAAATATATTTGCTCATGTTCATAGTCCACTTTGTCAAAAAATGAACTATGTTCAGAAAACTATAAATGAATTAGTTCAAGTTCGTTTGGTAAACTAAGCCACAATCCTACACAATAGAACCTCATATTTCAATTACACAGAACTTCAGAAACATATATGTACATTAAGGTTCTGCTGAAAAGATCTTTATCAAAAAATGATTTCTTACGTTCCTCATTCAGCAGCAGATATTTCCCAAAATAGCTTGAATGCTTTAGCTCAATGTGTCGCTTTAAATTTGAAGTGGGCATGGCTGACATACGGACTCGTTTGTTAAGACCCAGAGGGAACAGTTTGGACAAAGACAAGAGTTTTTTTCTGTCCGAGTCTTCCTGTTATTTCGTAAAACTCTACCAAGTGCTCTGCAAAAGTGGCATCGGAATTACCAGTAGATGAGTATGAATCATGCAGACTAATACTAGCAGTAGACATGCTGCTCTGTCATGCTGTTTGCCCTAAATGCTGTCGTTATCCAATGAAAAGTGTTATCAATTGGACATGAGCTGTGTGTGTCGCTTATTATTGTCGGAGTGAGCGTTGCTCTCATTCATGTTCATTACTTTAAAACTGGTCCATTCAGCTCACTGTTCACAAAAAATATTAACATCTTTAGTGAACGCGGTTAATTGAACACAGTCATGCACAACGTTGCCCACAGACAGCATGATGAAGCTGAAACATTGGTTGCTGTGATTTTACAATGTTGATTTAAAGCAGAGTAACCACTTCTATAAGATTTATTCACTGATTTAAATGGTCACACATCAAAATATGTTGCATTTTGTTTTATTTAAGTTTATTTTCATTATGGCCTGTTAGTATTTAAAAAAAAACAACTAAAAAGCATTCAAGTCATTTGTTTCATCCAGACAGTTTCTTTGTGATTGAACTCAGTGCTGCACCAACTTGTTGTTGCAACAACAGAAAGGTTTGGTCTCCTTGTGTCAGGAACCCAGTCCATCACAAACCAACAGAGGTTCTGACCTCAGACTTCTTCCATGGAGTTTACTTATGTAAGAATTTAGCGAGATAGGAAGAGGCCTGACCTTAGAAACACTTAAAAATAAAATCAATCCTGAAACGTGCAGGCAGTCAGTCCAGGGGGGAGAATAGGAGAGTTATGTGCTAACATTGCTTGTTACCTGTTAGCCGACAGGAAGCAATGTTTTGAACAAGCTGCAGACAAAGTGAAAGTTTTTTAAATCTAAAACGAAGAAAATACTGAGTTAGTATGGACCATACCTCAATGGGGGTGTATGAGATTGGGTGTACATGTATCAGTCCTGTAAAAATAACTCAATTATCACCCAAAGACACGTTAAGACTCTTCATTATAGGTCACACCACAGCTCCAAGACATACTAAACATTCCACAAATAACAAGATCCATAGACAAGAATAAGGAAGTGATTTACATTCTTGTCACCAAAAAGTTCTTGAATGCAAATTACAAACCACAGGATTGCGTTAAGATATTGTGACAGAAAAAACATGTTGGTCCATTTTTGTTGTTGTTAAATCTTAAAAAAAAAAAAAAGAGCTACTAATTAAAAACTTGGCATACAGCAAATAGTAAACAGAATGAATGGAATTTTGAGTTCTACTTTCCTTGGATTCAGGCTGATATGGCCACTTTAACCTACATTGTCTTGGTCAGGTACAAAAACCACAATTAAAAGAGATAAAGTCTCAACCAACCATATACGTAATGATGTAATGTAACTGTAAATTGTGGCTATTCTCCTGCAAGTACAGCCATCAGACATGAAATAATTAGGTCATACCTTCTTCAACTGTGAATAGTGGAATATAGATTTCTTCCTTGATTCTTTATACTTTCATATGATCAGATAGCAGGATGTTTCAGCTAATTCTAGCTTTATTTTTCTTGTAAGCACATCAAACTGTCATCCTATTAAAACAAGGCCTTTGTATGTCATCAATGCGACACCTCTTATAAAAACAACTGTTAACGTCAACAAAAACAATATTTACACTTAGGTTTATAGTTCGTATCTGCAGCCTCTTTATTGCTTTATATCCATTCAATTACTCCAAGTCTCAGTGATAAGCGTAAAAGCAGGATATAATCCAGTTAGGTTTCATTCAACTTTCTATTTTATTTTTGTTTTTAAATGTGAAAATCAATCATTTCTGAAGACCTACTAACAGCCTGCAGGAAAACTTTCAGGCCATCTCTATGATTCTATTAAATATGGGGCAAAACAATGAAGTAAAAAAGCCGATTATTGTTGATTATTTTCAAATAAAGTGAGGTATGCAAGAATATTTTAATGAAACAAACAGGAAATTTGGAGGAGCTCCGTTTTTCAAGTAAGCAATTGTCTGATTTTGCCATGATTTGAAGTAAAAGGCATGTTGGAGGAGTTTGAGATGTGTGGTACAGGTTCATACATAATTAGAATTAAAGCAAAAAGAAGGACTGGTAAAAACAACTACTTTTTATTAAAGCTAAAAATAAATCAGATAAGATTTTAACTAAACAGTGAAAACCTGTCCTATACATAAGAGTGTCCAGCTGCTTGCAGGCCAACATTTGTACCACTCTTCCATCAGATGGCTTTAAAGTCGTAGGGAAACGGCTGTTCCAACTGTTGCCTTGCCGAATTCTCCTGATTGGTGCCCGGCTTTACACAAGTAAATAAAGTGAAAGTTTGCAAGAAAGTTTGATCGTGGCTGGTTACTTGGAAGCATTGTTGCTAACCAATTAGCAACTTAGTGCTAGTAGGTTCCCAAAGGGAAATTACAATGTGATGAAGTAGCACTTAATTGGTGACTTAGAAATGACACTGTCAAAGGAGCTATGGACAGCAGAAACATGCAAGAGGAGAGTTTTGTGTCAGAGGTCATGGATGAGTCTCCTCAATCATAAATGTTGTGTTTAGAGGAGGAAAGTGGGGACGAAGATGTTGTGGAAGAGGATGCCAGGGCGGCAGGAGCTTGGTTTGGTGTAGAAGGCTTACAGCCGTACATGTTTGAGCCCTTGCCTCGTAAACGCTGCCATTTCTGTTAGCTCTACGCCTGCTGAAGACACAGGCGTCCATCCCCGTGAACACTGGGACGGAACTCAATGGTAAAGTAAATTATTCATATTTCTTATTTTAACCATTGCGTATATTAGCTGTGACATATAAAGACCGTTGATATATGATTGGCCAAATTTAGGTGTACAAGCTGACGTATAATTAACTGGCCTGCATAAAATAACGAGAGAAAAAAACAACACAGATTTTAAGAGAGGATTTTTTTTTTTTTATATATAGAAATGTTCTAAATTTGGTGAAAATATAGTCTGGTAAAGAGTACATTTATATACATGTTTAAGCCAAAATGATTTGACATTTAAATATTATTTCCCTACAACTTTAAAGAGCCCCGAGATTTTAACTTAAAAACATCTTTGTAGCAGATAGCTAAACATTTATGCTTTATAATATATTTCAGTCTTACTAAGTTTAAGATCCCAATCTCAAAGCGAAACCCCACCTTTTTTTATTGGTTTGTTTTTAAGCAATGAAAATGTAAGTGTATGAAACAGATCAATATAAATTTAGAGGCATGAATTAAGTTAAAAAAAATAAAACTAAAATTTATGAAATTTTATTCATGGAGATGTACCTGCACGTTATGTAGTCATCAAAATAAAATCAGGTAAAATCAAATCTGGCCACTCAGAGCTCAAAGAAAAACAAGAAATTGGTACTAACCCAGAAAAGTTATTTTAATAAATTACAACTAAATATTCCAGATGATAGATGTCTGGTTATCTTGTGTTATTAAAGAAATGTCAAGCCTGTTTGCATTCAGCCGCCCTTTGGTTGGATCTACAAAACAAGGCCTGTTTCTGTAAACATCTGCAGGCAGCAGTGAAACAGACATATTGGTCTGCTGTGATTTTGTTCCTGTGGGGTCTGGAGTTTATAAGCAGGAGTCTGTGAGCAGTTTTTTCCACTGTAAAGGGTTAAAGAGAAAAGTTAACAGAGCAGAGCCGCAGCCCTGTGTTTACACTGCATGAAGACACAAGTTTACACCCAAAGCTTCCCAACACAAACACAGCTTCCTACCTCACACACAGACACGGCACGGAAAAGACATGCGTGGAATGAATCCTAAACAGTCTGTCAGAATCCCCCCTAAAAACAAAGGAACAATGCAAGAATAAACAACGACTTTAAATTGCCCCAGAATCTAGAATCTGTTAATAACAAGTTTCACTAAGGCTGATACTTAAACTGGAAGTCCTGCGGGTGCAGCGCTGCACATTTTCACCGATTTCTGTCTGTGTTTTAAATGCAAACTGGTAACAGCGGCTGTATTGCGCAACAACTTTGCCTTTTTCTCTGTTGACTTTAAAGAGCGACGCAAACTTCGAGGCGCAGTTAAAGCTGAGAGGAAGAAAGTCTGAGCAGCAGCCACCTGAACAGAGACAGCAGAGCAGAGCAGCTGCTTCACAGAGGAAGGAGAAGGAACAAGGCAAACCTGGAGGCGAAGCGCGCGGCTTTTCTGCTCATGAAGCATCCGCGCTGCGGCGGCTTGGAACCGGACGCCTAAAACCAGAAAGTCATTCAGAAAGCGGCGGACAGCTCCTCCATACTGAACTAATCACGTGTCTGACAGACTCCCGTTTCCGTAGTGGGTGGGGTCTGCGGACAACTGTGGAAAAAAATAAAACATACCGTACCTATGAATGAAGCCTAAGGAAGGTTAGGGCCACTGAAAGTATAAAAAAAGGTTAACTGATTTTTACATTTTATTTCAGTTTAATGTAGAGAAAAAGTCGGTCTTGAATCTCAGAATTCTGACTTTAATCTCAGAATTCTGACTTTTTTCTCAGAAATCTGACTTTAATTTAAAAATTCTGAATTTTTTCTCAGAATTCTGACTTTCATCTCAGAATTCTGACTTGTTCCTTAGAAATCTGACTTTAATCTCAGAATTCTGATATTTCTCTCAGAATTCTGACTTTAATCTCAGGATTCTGACTTTTTTTTCTCAGAATTCTGGCTTTAATCTCAGAATTCTGACTTTTTTCTCAGTATTCTGACTTTAATCTGAGAATTCTGATTTCAATCTTAAAATTCTGACATTTCTCTCAGAATTCTGGCTTTAATCTTAATCTAAGGCTTCAGGCTTTTCTTCTCCGAATTTTAAATTTAATCTCAGAATTCTGACTTTTTTCTCAGTATTCTGACTTTAATCTGAGAATTCTGATTTCAATCTTAAAATTCTGACATTTC